TGTATTTATTATAATAATATTTATATAAAAGCCTAAGTGACTGACTGTTCAACCATCCAACTGGAGCTATGATGCACACTGACCATTAGGGTAGAGGCCTGGTGCACGGATTTGTGCACTGGTGGGGTCCTTTGGCCTGGCCTACGGGGATCGGGCCAAAACCGGATCTTTGACATCCCGTGAGGGGTCCCGGATTACGAGAGGGCAGTTCTTGGGTGATGCACCCTGGAATCGGGGTCCCTCCTCTCTGGTTCTAGGTGCGTCATCCAAGAATCGCAGCTGCCAAGTCACCGCAGCTCAGCAACTCCTGCGTTGAGCATCTGCCATCTGGTGGTCATTGCACGTCATAGCTACTGGTCAGATGGTCAAATGATCAGATGGTCACTTTGGCTTTTATATATATAGACTAGAGGCCTGGTGCACATATTCATGCCCTGGTGGGGTCCCTCGGCCTGGCCTGCGGGGATCAGTGGATTTCAGCGCCGTCACAGCCTGGCCTTACCCGCCAGCTCGTTGGCTCCAGCCCGCTGTCTGCTTCGATCCCACACAGCACAAAGTAGTGCCCAAAGCGGCAGGTGGCCAGGGAGGAGCCCGTGCCCGGGCCGGACGCCGTGCCCGATGCCGTGCTGTCCCACTCCGCTCATCCCAGCCCCGCTGCGCCTGCCGCCACCGCCGCTTGGTAGGCTCACTGCCGCTCCACTGTGCTGCGGTCTCTACGCACCTGTCCTAGGGTGACCGGCGCGCTCATGACCACACAGCTGCCACTTGTCATAGCAGCCTCGCTCCTCTCGTGGCGTGAGAAGCAGCTGCAGGCTTACGCCCAGTGAGTCCCAATGCCAGGACCGGGAACCATGAGCCCAGCGCCCCTTGGTCAGCTGAGCAGGGCTCCCTCTGTGGGAGCGCACTGACCACCATGGGGTAGCTCCTGCATCGAGTGCCTGCCCCCGGTGGTCAGTATGCGTCATAGCTGCCAGTTGACTGGTTGACTGGTTGCTTAGGCTTTTATATATAGACTAGAGGCCCAGTGCACAAAAATTTGTGCCCTCGGGGGGC